ATCAATGCACCCGAGGAAAAAGAGTGAAAGAATTTTAACTTTTTCTGTGTTGTTTCTTAAATACTGGTGGTGTTTATCAAGCAATGTTAATTGAGTTTAACATTGATGACAAACTTAGTGACTTATTTTTGTTTTGTTTACTTCAATAGCCAAAAGCCATCCTCAATATGATGCCAACGACGTACATTTCCATATTCCTACTATTTAGTATCATTATTTCCAGCTTGTGCGTATTGGAGGGATTAGATTATCAACAATGGCCTGAGGCCTTTCGTAACTTTAGTAATACAAAATGTCTACGAACTCCTAACAATTGCACACTTCACGGACTGTGGCCCGACAACGACATTGGGAACTCGAGTAATCGTGTCGACGCACCTTTCCATAATATTACGGTAACATTTTTATCCCTTTTTTTAAATTTATTTTAAATTATGGTATATTTAGTATTTACATTGATTTAAGACAGAGAAATGGAATTTCTTGTCCAGGATCAAAATTTGATTCCAACATTAGATCATCTCAAGCTGGTTCAACGATGGCCTTGGGCCTTTTGTTTCTTATATAGTGGATGTCAACGAACTCCTAACAATTTCACACTTCACGGACTGTGGCCCGACAACTACTTTGTGCATTTGAGTAATTGTGCCGGCGCAGCTTTCCAAGATATTACGGTAACATTTTTATCCTTTTTTTAAATTTATTTTAAATTATTGTATATTTACATAGATTTAACACAGAGAAATGGAATTTCTTGTCCAGGATCAAATTTTGATTTCAAGATTAGAATCTAGTTGGCCTGATCTACTTGAGCTAGATTGTAAAGGAGCACGTGGCCAGTCATTTTGGGGGCAGCAATGGGAAAAACACGGCACATGCTCTACTACACCAAACGATTATGAGGCCTACTTCAATTTGGCTGTAGATTTGAAGAATAAGCACGACATTTTACAGACACTCCGACAAAGCGAAATTTGGCCTGGGGATTATTATCACATCGATAGTATCAATTCATCCATTGCTAGAGCTACAGGAAGCCAGATTCAGATAAAATGCGGTAAAATACCTTTCCATACACCAGTGTTGTCTGAGATTATCATATGTTATGACCCTGAAGGAACTACCGTAATTGATTGTCCTCCCGTGCCAAAAAAAGGTCCATGTTGGGAAGAGGAGGGTCTAGTTAAATTTCTACTAGACTAGGTTATTGCTATTATTAGTTTACCTTACGTGCGTGGGGCGTTAACTATGTGATATCTATGTTTTTTTCTATATATATGTAATATCATTCTACGTTTGTGTTTTAAAGGCAAAATTTGAGAACGCGGTGGCTAAAGTGGAATTGGTTCAGTTCTTGAGCGACCAAAATGAAAAATTTTAGAAATAAGATTTAAATGAATTAATGATGAACTTGATATTCATAAGCGACAATATGAATCATTTGTCAACCGGAGAGCAATTTTGGACTTACTTGAAATATTTTAAAATTTAAGGGATCAAATTGTTATTTAAGAAATGCGCCATGTGATTTTCACACTTGCGTATAGTTTCAAGGATAACTATGATATAATAGTTGAGGTGAGAGGCAAGGCAATAATTTCAATGCTAGAAAACCTGGGTGACCAATTTGCAATTTTGAAAACTTAACAGATCAAAGTACAATTTTGACAAAAAAGTATGAATTGAGAATTTTCTATCCAAGTGAAAGAACAAGTTCAGTTTTTTTTTTTTTGCCAATTGTTCGAGTAAATTGAAGTTTCTACACATTAAGACAAAAAAATTATGATGCACAAAAATATAAAGATCCAATAGTATCAAATTTGTGATTGTCGGATCACATGTAAAAGCTAAAATATCATTTTACCGTAACGATGCACCCTAATTACAATTTCCAGGACAAAGTTAGGAACCATTTAGAATATTACACAAAGCGAGGGAATCGAACCCTCAATAAACTACAGCTTACATTCTTTCTTTTTGCCATGTTCAATTGAAGCACACCGTTCGCTAGGAAGGGATCGATTACGAGTACGAAATGATTTTAACATACAAGCCGGATAACGTGATAAGACAACTATACTCTACCTGGCATTCCAGTTCAAATACTTATCCCTCACGTTCTCCAGGGTACAGATGAAGAACATAGTGGTATAGAAGTAAATTCAAAAGCATCGGTTTACTCTAGTTATTGACATGAGCATCGAATGATTTTGGAAAAATTAAATTTGAGGTGAGATAATCTTATTCATCATTCATTAGAAGATCAATCACTAATGTTAAGTTTATGTCAAATCGTGTTAGTTGAGGTAAACTTTCAAAGTTAACTATTTAAATAAATTTAATTAATTTGAAACTTATTTTAATTTTTGTCACGACACTAATAAGGTGAGAACACATACCAGTACTGAGCTCGAAGGTGAAGAGTAGTTCATTAAATTTAATAAAAAGTGTTGTTTCCATAATGAACAAAATGCGTACAGAAAATTATAAACACAAAAATTAGTAGTTTGAAACTTATCTAGATTGCATGGAAAAAAGAAGTAACGATTTTTTTTTTAATACTCTATATTATTCTGCGTAATAAATACTAAAACTTCCTTTTTACTTTTGCTGGATGTTATAAATAAATTTTTTTTTTTTTCTAATTTGGACCATAAATTTCTTTAGGTCACAAATGTTTTTCATCAAATGTTACAATGAATTTCAACATTTGATGAAACATTAATTTAGGGCTTGTTTGGTAACACTAAAAATCCAATTAAAATTGAAAATATAACCGTTATTGGGTCTCATCCGTCTAATAAAAGTCAACAATAACGGCTAGTTTTTCGATTTTAATTCGATTTTAATCTCTACCAAACACACTATTAGTTTGCACATGATGGAACATTTAAAATGATAAATATACATATAAGTAGTATCATCTTTTCAACAAAATAGTTACTATAATAACAAATTAAATATCATCCTAAAAATAGTTGGAGTCGACATCACGGTCTTGGTTTTTTTTTTATTATTTTAATTTTATACGTGAACATACATTTGTAATTAATTGTGTATATATACTATATTAATTCAAGTACAATTAAAGTGGTCTAATAAAGAATGGAAAAAA